CCCCAAAACCCCAAAACCCCAAGCAATGGAAATAGTAAATATATTGAGAAATAATAATAAACATTGATAAACTTTTTTAATATTTATATATTCAGAATGGATTCTTAAGATGAGGGATAAATTGATTCTATGAAACAATAGCTTATCTAAAAATAAGATATTGAACGATTCGATACTTATTTAGAAAGCACCTAGAACTATTAAACTACTGAGGCAAATACCAGAGTATTGTCTAAATCAGGGAATTTTTCAATAAAAGAGAAACAAGGTAGGAAAAAAAGCTAAACAAAGATTATCACAAAGAAACCAAAATAGTTCATTGAAATAGTCAATAACGAGCAAAGGAGAACTCTCCCAAATGGTAGCAGACTATAGAGAATCAAGTTTGACTTTAACTTTATGATGTTTATCGGTACAGCTTATATGATGGCTTACTTTTTCCTAACAGGCTTTGCATTACTAATTCTCTCTACTTCAAGTTTAGATGTCACTAATTGCTCAATTCCCATTATTTCTTGGTTTAAGGTTTCAGTAACAATGTACGTTTTCTCCTTTACTATATGCCTTTTTACAGTTTTAAAGATTAAAAAGCATGGCCTGCAAACAGAAATTATAAATTTTGGTGCTTTTGAATTAGTTCTTGAAGTTTACAATAGAAACTGGGCCTACATCGTAGTGCTTTCAATTGATATGTTTCATTTGGCACTTACTATCTGGGGAACTATATAGATTGAGAGAGTTAAACCTCCTTGTTTCTTTGAAATTCCTGCACTTTCAAATTTTATGCTGATAATGGTTATATTGGGATACATTTACCTAGCTAGAGTGATTGTAACTGTGACTCATTATAAGTTTGGAGTAAGAATCTACAGGTATTTAAGGCGAAATCTTAGAGTGTTTAGGAAGTATGATAGAACTCTTCGTGCTAAATTCCCGGTTTACCTCTATAGAAATTACTAATAGATGATAAAAGAGTAAGAAGCAGAGGAGGAAATATTGCCGCCGAAGCAACTTAGTGAGGCTAATTCAATCAATGAGGATAAGGAAGATATAGATTCTGAGAGTGAGAAGAGCTTGATTAAAATAAATTCAGATGATGATGTTTGTCCAATATGTTGTGATTAATTCCAGGATGAATCTGAAGTAGTTCTAATGCCTTGCAATATCAAGCATATTTATCATCCCAAGTGCATTGAAGAATGGCTGACCAAGCACATTAATTGCCCACTGTGTAAAGCAGCAGTATTTAAAAACACCTAGATAGAGTAGTTAGAAGAGAATATAAGGATTCCATAGGATGAATTATAATAGTAATTGAACAGTAATAATGATGTTTGAGTACATATAGATATTTAAATATCATGTTGCTTACTTTAGTGAGGCTAAATTAGAAAAGATTATATAAGCATTCTTGATTTAATAATTTAATATTTGTAATCAAGCTTTATTTTCACTTAGGGGTTTTGGGGTTTTGGGGTTTTGGGGTTTTGGGGTTTTGGGG